TGTTTTAATTTCTATAGATGATTTTCTGCGTTTTTAGCTGTAAAACAGAGAGAAGTCCTCCAGGGATTAGAAATGCTGGATGAGAAGGGGATTTGAAGGGGTTTCAGAGGTGAAAGGAAGATGATCCAGGAGGTGTCTGCTGGGAAAATACCTGATTATTCAAGTTGTTGTGTTTGTACTGAGGCTGTTTGACCTTGTTGAGTGTCTCACCTAGGACAGTGATTGAGGGTTTCCTCTGAGCCATCTCATTAAAAATAATTAGAAATTAAAATAATGAAAATTAGCCAGCAGAAACCAAATAGAGCTGAGCCTTGACACTGTTACATGGAGAGTTTGCTAAAGAGGTTCTCACTTTGCTCCCAAGGAAAGAGGCCCTTTGTTTATCCCCTTCTCTTGATTAAAGAAGGGTAAAGCAGAAGCACTGCTAGGAAAAACAGTGAAGTTAACAACAGGAACAGAAATGATTTGCTGCAAGGTCTTAGGAAAGCCTTCAGAGCTTGTTGTTTTATTTAGCAAGTTCTATTTACCTTTCCTGTAAGGAGCTTGGGGCAGGGGCACTGCTGCCTCAGGATCCCATTTACCAGCATTGCTGCCTAAACATAAAATGCATCATGAAAACTGTAGGGAGGGAAGCTCATTTATGGAATGCTTTTCCTTTTTAAAGTGTGTTTGATTTATCATGATTTGACTTCAAAAACTACTCCATTATGCCCAGGAATTTCAAGGACAACTTGTTTTTTTGTTGAGAAAATTGGAACAGAGGCATGTTCTGGTAATACATTCTGGTAATAAACTGCAGTGTAAAATTGGAAGAGGTAAAATAATGGCTGAAAGAGTTCTACCAAGGCCCATACACTGACACGGGGCACCTTTCTGCTCTTTGGGTGTAAATTCTTGTGGAAATATTTCCTTCCTAAGTCACCTTTGGGGCTGCAGCTATTCTGTGCTTTTTTTGGGTTGAATAAAGCAGTCTTAGTGCTGAAATAATTTCTGTTGAGAATAATTTCAACACAATACTGGAGAAAAAACTTGAGAGAAGTAGAGTGAGTCCTGAGGAGGCCTTGGAGATGCTCTGAGGGCTGGAGCCCCTCTGCTCTGGAGCCAGGCTGGGAAAGCTGGAGAGGGAAAGGCTCCAGGGAGAGCTCAGAGCCCTTCCAGGGCCTAAAGGGGCTCCAGGAGAGCTGGAGAGGGACTGGGGACAAGGGATGGAGGGACAGGACACAGGGAATGGCTTCCAGTGCCAGAGGGCAGGGCTGGATGGGATATTGGGAATTAGGAATTGTTCCCTGGCAGGGTGGGCAGGCCCTGGCACAGGGTGCCCAGAGCAGCTGGGGCTGCCCCTGGATCCCTGGCAGTGCCCAAGGCCAGGCTGGACTTTGGGGCTTGGAGCACCAGGGACAGTGGGAGGTGTCCCTGCCATGGCAGGGGTGGAATGGATGGGATTTAAGATCCCTTTCAGTCCAAACATTCAGGGATTCTCCAAAAAATGGAGCCTCTTTCATGAAACAGCACTGAGGACAATTTCCTAAGGGATGATGATCATTGGTGTTGCTTTTTATCTTAAGGAGCTTATTTTCTCCTCCTTGCCCATTTACCTAAGTGTATATTTCCAGAGAGTTTCCATTATCCTTGATTAAATAAATTCCAAATTCTGTCATCTTTATAAGACAGGCTCTCCATCCTCCTGATGATGGCAATAACTTTTCTCTGCACCTGGCTCAGTCCAAAGATGTTTTTTCACATCCACAGGAATTCCCACCCTCTCTGGCTGGTGCCTGGTTGTACAGACAGTGCTTGAGCTTAGGGTTTTTTGGACCCATATTGCTGCTTATTGATTATATTTTGTGAGGGGGAAAAAAAGGAACCCCCCTCCCCATATGTGTATTTACAACATACCACTTGCCTTCAAGGTTTTTCATTAAAATTATTGTCTCTGAATTGGAAATTTGTGTCAGACTGCAGTTTTAGATTTATCTGTTCAGAGTGTGGTGATGGACGTGGAGCTGAGTCTGTGGCTTAGTTAGGTTTGTTCCTGCAGAAGGAGAGGATGAGGTGGCAACAACTGAAAAAGGAGGTTTGGGTAGTGCTGGCATGGTGAAGTGATGTGAAATAATTTGTAAACTTTTATCTATGCAATAAAACTTCTTCACAAATCTCTTACTGGTGCCATGGGTTAATCCAGAAGTTTGCTACTCCCATCCTCCTTGTCTGGTTGGTTTTTTTACACTCCCATGCTTCTGGCTCTTGCTCTAATCTCTTCTTTTCACTGAAATTTATCTCATGATAAATTTTCTTGCTTCACCTGCTCACCCTTGCAATAAATCCTCTGCAAACTGCTGAATTTCAGTGGCCAACCCTGCCTTTTCTCTGAGACTCCCAAGATCCACATTGCATTGGTGAACATTCCTTTTAAATGCTAAACACTCCTTTTAAATGCATGTACAATGTTTAGTTTTTCATTCTGAAAATTCAAGTGTGTTTGATGGAAAACCAGCTTTGGGAAAAGTTAATAAATGTGTGATTTGGCTTATAATTTTGATTTTTTTTATTGAGTATAAACTAGAAGTTGGCCTGATTTAGCTGACACTTTCATTGGTACACCCAACAGGGAGAAAATATCTGGAAACAGAGAAAATGGGGGAAAGCTTCATGGAGTTTTTTTTAAAAATGTTGACCATTCTTTTATTAAGATATATGCAATTTTTAGACTTAAAAATTGTCCCTGCTTTGGATTTTTATTTGATATTTAGTTTAGTTTTTATTTTTATTTTTCCAATTGCTGTTGTATGGGGTATAGCAGGGCTATTCCCGAAAACAAAGTGGCAGTAAAAGTTTTTTATTGTTGAGCTTCTTCGCTCTAATTAAGAGTTCGTTGAAGGGTCCTTCAGTTCCCCAAATCCTGAACCTCTAGAAAATGAAAACATACATCTCTAGAAAAAAGTTAAAGTTGGTTTTGTTAGGGCCCTGGAAGGTTTATTGTATCCAGTGAAAAAAATGAGAGCAGGGGGGAAAAAACAATAAAAGGCCATATTTCATATAGATAATGCAAACATTTCTTATCTGCCCACACAGTGTGCTCGTAGGAAACTGCATTGGTATGAAAGATGTGGTTTTCCAGGTGATTTATTTGCTCTGTTAAATCCTGCAAAACAAAAAAGCTTTAAAATAATACTTAATTCTTAAAACCCAAACAAGCTGAAAATTTTCAATTGTTATGTATCACAGTAGACCATATAAGAATGAAAGGAGTAGGGAAGGGGAGAGTTCATGCGTTAGTGATTTTATTTATGCTTCGAAGTGGTGAAGTGGGCACAGAGGTGTTTGGTCACAGGTTGGGCTTGGTAGTCTTGGAGGTCTTTTCTCAGGGGCAACACAAAACTGCTGCTGCTGCTGGAGGAAAACCCAGTGAATGTTGTAGAGGTGTCCTTTAGGTGTCACCTCAATGGAGATCTGAGCTTCACTGTTCTCACCTCCCTTTGTAGATCTTGTCTGTGCTGGGGTAATTAGAGAGTGTTTGGGTCCTTTGGAGTCCACAAATGTGTAATTTTTACTGTAAGATGAGAAACAGAATTTACCTCAGCTTGTTCTTCTGTTTCATTTACAGATGATTTTCTGTTGGAATTTGTGTGTAAAAAACACACCTCAAAAAACCAAACCAAACCAGTAATACCTGAATATTTCTTTCCTATTTTGAGCTCAGAGTTTGATTAGAAGGTATAATTTCACACAAATGGGGTTTGGTTGGGCTGTGCATCAGAGGAGCCTCTAAGTCTATAAAATCATGGGCAATCTCACATAGCCCTGAGTGGTGAATTGGGAAGGAGAATGGTTGTCTCTTTTCTCGCCGAGTCAACGATGCTCTTGGAAAATTAAAAGCTCTTCCTAATGGACTTTTATTTCCATGTGCTTTAAAAGGGGATATTGGTTTTCGGCTGTTTAATGTAGAAAACCTGATTGGTCCTAAAACAGCCATCACATGTGGTGATCATGCTTTTATGTATTTTAAAGCTACACTTGTGTTTGCTAGCTCTGCATGTACTGCTTGATATCTTTGAACCTCTCTTTTGAGTAAATGAACAATCTCTTACTTATTTTCTTTCATTATTCTGCTCTGCTTCCATTGATGACTCTAAACTTTTGACTCCAGACTGGCAATATGAGGGTAAGATGGCAAAATATGACTTCCTGAACATTGCTCGTCTGCTTTTCATTTGTGTTCTCCTTAGAGTTATTAAAATTCCATTCACTAAGTAGATCCTTTTCGTTGCAGTTAAATACAAATTATGTTTGTTTCTGTTGTGAAGCTTTAATTATGATTTATACCTTTTAATCATTCCTTTGTTATTTCTTTGGGTTAAATTTCCATCGTATTCCCTGTGTCCTGACTCGTATTGAGATTCCTGATGGGATCTCTGGAGAAAAACACGAACAGATTCATTAGTGTAGCCATCCAACTGGATCATGGTGGCATGTGACAACAATCCTTCCCTGGCACAGAGTGCCCAGAGCAGCTGTGGCTGCCCCTGGATCCCTGGCAGTGCCCAAGGCCAGCTTGGACACTGGGGCATGGAGCAGCCTGGGACAGTGGAAGGTGTCCCTGCCCATGACAGGTTGGGTTTTGAGGTCCTTCCAACCCAAACCATTCCATGATTCTATGATTTAAGGGATGTTGTTCATGACATGCAAAGGAAGAGGGAAAACCATATAACATTTTTGCAGTTTAGGTATTTTAAATATGGATCATACCTGAGATCTTTTTTGATCACATCCTCCCTTGCTTTACAAATTTTCTCTGAGTTAGGGATAAGCAAACAGCTCTGTTTTGAACATTTATGAGTATAACTTTCCTACCAGTTGTAGCTCATACCTGCATCACATTTAAGAGAATACTTGCCTTCAGCATGCCAAATATGCTGACTTAAAAAAAAACAAACCCAACAACAAAACCCCAGAGATCCTACTTTTGGAATGAGAAATAACTCTTTTTTTTATCTTTATAGATTGCAAGTTGGCCAGAGCAGGTCCTCCAGCCACAATAGTTCCCATTGACGAGGAGAGTCGCAACGGTGAGTGCCCTCGGTTATTTATAACACAAATTATTTATAACCACTCTTTAGGGCCCTTGTGGCAAACAGACCTTCTTAATTTTTCTTAAGTCAGTGGGATGGTACTAGAGGACAAAGTCCTGGTCAGTATTTGGTTTTGTTTGAATAAAGCTGAAGTTTTACTCTGCAGCATGAAAGGAGTGTTAACAACATGGTCTTCCCACATGGCTTTTGGAAAGTTGTTTGTTGGTTCCCTCTAAGTTTAGGAACATGACTTGATGGACACCTCTGAAATGGAAGAACTTGGTTGTAGTCATGGAAATTTCAAAAGAAAATGAATGTCCCTTTTTTCAGTATTTTAATTCTCCTGACAAATCAGAGAGTTTTCAGATTGTTAATCTGTGGTCTGAGCATTGCAGTTGTGTAGCATATTTTGATGGGATGAAGTGCTTTACTCTGTTACAATCAGCTGTTACTCCTTAGAGTAAGTTACTATTCTTTCCTGCTTTTTATTCTGTGTATTTAGGGATTTTTTGTTGTTGTTGGTGGTTTTTTTTTTTTTTAATCTTGCAAGCTGGATCTGTTTTTGTGCTTTGTGTGGCTGTGGTTTATCAGATATGGGTGCTTGAGATGGTGAATAAAGCCAGGTGATGCTGGTGGAACTTCTCTGCTATTATTCTGAGAGGAATTTTTTGCTGGAATTGCTCAAAGTCAGATGGATAAATGCATTTATGGGTAAAACTCCTCAACAAACTAATTTTTAATAAACCTTTGTGCTGAAAAAGTTCTGGTACTGGGGTGGCTGTTAAAACCAGGGTATTTTCCCTCCTCCTGGGATGGTTTTCCCTGTAGTCAGGAGAGTCCAAAGGAGAGCTCTGAAGATGGACGTGCTCTTTGAATTGGATGTGTTGGTTCTTGGCAAGCTGCTGTTGAATCCTGATGTGTTCCAGTTGTGGGCTGCTCAGTTTTGGTGGAATGACCCCCTCAGCTGAAATGGTTTGGGTGCCATAGCTCATCTCTCGTAGCCTTTCATCCTTCCTACTCATTAGAAATAAATCTGTGCTAACAGCAAGGGGTTATAAATAAATCCAAACCAACTTTGCCATCAAAAAAAACTTTTTGAGAGCCTTTAGAAAGAGAGATTGAAATTGTGGACTCCCCATCCCTGCAAGTGTCCAAGGCCAGGCTTGGCAGGGCTTGGAGCCACCTGGTCTAGCAGGACATGTCCCTGCCCACAGCAAGGGAGTTGGAATGAGATGAGCTTGGAGGCATCTTCCAACCCAACTCAGTCTGAGATATAAAACTTAATAAGGAATGCATGGTGTTCTACATTTCCAGTGAACAAACTTGAGAGGCAGGAATAAAAATCCACCTAATATTGTTCTTGCCTATACAAACAAGTCTCTAGATCACTTAAAGTCTAAAATCTCATCCTTATTTTAGTTCTTCCATGGCACTGTTGCTTCCAAGGGTCTGTTGTTGGGGTTGGAATGGCTTCTGTAAGGATGGAGATCTCAAAACAGTGGCTGGGACATTTTATTCCATCAGTGCACGTGGCCATGGTGTTCTGGCAATAAACAAAATCCTGCTCTTTAGGAATAGATATTTAGTTCCATTGTGCCATGGCACATTGAGCTCAATCATTCCTAATTCACAGGAAGTCAGAGACCAGCAAATCTCACAGAATAAAAACATTTTCCCAAATAACTCTTGCTTGTTTTCACAGTCAGGCACACAGGTGCCGTGCCTGACCTTTAAAGATGTTCTTAAAATCAGCAGAGATGTTAAGATTCGACAGTTTCCTGCCATGGGATGGATATCTCTTTCTATCAAGTAATTTAGGTGCAAGAGTAAATTACATTATAATTGTGCTCATGTGAGCAATCCTGGAGGGAGTGAACTTGACCTTTCTAAAGGAATAAATGAATTATTGTATGATTTTCCCTGTGTTGAACTGCATTGGGTGATAGTATTTCAGATCATATTAAGAGCAAAACTGAATTTTTCTGGATGGTTTTTATAGGCCGAGAGTTATTTTCACCCATGGATTTCTTTTTATTTAATTACTGGCTTTGAGACTTGGTTTTAACTTGATTTAAAGCCTGAATGAGCCTTATTCCTAGGTCAGACTTTCTTATTGCCAGTGTGCCCCAAGTGTTTGGAGGCCTCCATGTGGAGCAGCCTGAAATTCTCAAGGGCTTTGAATCTCTGGTCAGGGTTTTTGATGGAAAGTATACTCTTGGGAAAAGATTTCTACAAGGCAAGATTTAAAGATTTAGAGATTAAATTAGAATTTGGAAAGAAAGCAGAAGTTGGGGTAGAGCAAACAAGCAGACCAAAGTGAATTCCCCTAATGTGAGGACAAATAGGAACTGGCATCTTTGTGCTCCATCCAGAACAAAAAAATTCCACAGTTAGGAATGCTTTGTGTTCTTTCCCATCCTAGAAAAATCAGTCAGTTTGGTTGTATTTTGGTGGGGTTTTTTTCTCCCAGCTTCCCTTATGATGGTGTGAGTGCTCTAATGAATTATGGGAGCAAATCCCAAACCCCCTGCTCTCTTCCATGTTCCTTGGGGATGCCCACATGGAAGTGCAGCTTTCATGGCTCTAGGTGGGTCAAGTGTTATTTTTCCTGTTTTTTATCTTCCTGCTCTCTCAGCAGCAACCTTTCTTCAGCCTGACTTCCAGGGGAGGCAGAGGATATGTGATCCTGCTACAAATCCCCCTCCATAACCCCTTGTGGGGAGGCACTCATGGGAAATAGGGCACAAAAATGCAGGAAATAAAGCTGTGGGGTTTCTTCTCCCTGATTCTCTTGCACCAATTTATTTTCAGTTTTATTACATTGTAATGCTGGAAGAATGGATGTGATTGCATTGATGTTTTCCATGCTGGTCCAAACTTGTTCAACTTAATGGTTTAACTTTCCATGCTTGGTCCAAACTGGTTTTCAGGGACAATTGACAAGGGTTGAAAAAAATGTCCCCAGAGGCACAAAATCTGTAGCTTCCCTCCAGAGATGGGCTTAGGTGTGCTGATGAGGACTGGGAGTGATGCCTCTGAATATTCATTGCTCAATTAAATGTTCAGTGACCACCAGGGCAGGCTGGAATTTAACTAATTAGCCATAAAGAAGGAAGAGTCCTGCTATCCCAGGAAAAGTTGTTTAGTAAAATCAGTTTGGAAGGTTGCTGTGGCTGAGCACAGGTGTATCAAGAAATGCATTCCCTAAGAACTGTGGCTGGATGTTCATTTCCTACTTTTCCCTCCTGTTTCATTAATGACTTGAAGGTGCTTCAATCTTGGAGGGCTTTTCCAGCCTAAATGATTCCATTATATTCTTGTATTGCCTTCATGAGCATCTCATTCTTTAATTTAAAAAAAAAAAATACTTTCACCTATTGCTTCCTATCATTCAAAAATCAGCTTTGTGAAGGAAAGTCATCTTAGTTTTACCATTTTAAGGGATTCTGAGAACAGCATTTCCCAAGTTTGCAGTGTATGTGTAGATGTGGAAAGGCATCAAACTGTGATTTTTTTATCTTGATTTTTCTTATTTTTCCCATAAAGGCACTTTGAGGACTCTTTGCATTTTGCTTTTACTTGGTGCACTATTTTTTGTAGTGTTTCTATAATGGAAAAACAATTCAAGTTATTAGTTTACATGTTGTCATCATTCCTGTGAAATGTTTCCAGGGAGAAAGTGCTTCAGTTGATGTTTAATCTAGCTCATGCCATTGTCTTTATGCCTCCCTGCCCACACATAGATTTTTCCCACATCTTTAGACAATCTTACAGCTCCCTAATGTGTTTATGAATATTTTGGAGCATCCTTCAGTTTTTGACCATCCTTTTCAAATTTATCTTCACCAACCTGGAATCTGGTTTGTCTGGCAATGGAGATGTGGTGTGCAGATCTAAGTTAAGGTATTGCAGCCAAAAAATAAAGTTTGGAATTAAATCTGGCCATTTTTAGGCTGAGTGTCTTGGCCCAGTCTGACCATTTTAAGGCTCCGTGTCTCGGCATTTTTAGGCTGAGTCTAGGGCTCAGTCTGGCCATTTTTAGGCTGAGTGCCTAGGCCCAGTCTGGCCCTTTTTAGGCTGAGTGTCTAGTCTCATTCTGGCCATTTTTAAGCTGAGTGTCTAAGTCTAGTCTGGCCAATTTTAGGCTGAGTGTCTAGTCTTAGTCTGGCTATTTTTAGGCTGAGTGTCTAGTCTCATTCTGGCCATTTTTAGGCTGAATCTCTAAGCCCAGTCTGGCCATTTTTAGTCTGAGTGTCTAGTATTAGTCTGGCTATTTTTAGGCTGAGTGTCTAGGCCCAGTTTGGCCATTTTTAGGCTGAGTTTAGGGCCCAGTCAGGCCATTTTTAGGCTGAGTGTCTAGGTCCAGTCTGGCCATTTTTATACTAAGTGCCTAGGCCCAGTCTGGCTATTTTTAAGCTGTCTAGGCCCAGTCTGGCCATTTTTAAGCTGTCTAGGCCCAGTCTGGCCATTCCAGCTCAGGGTGCAGTCGAGGTGGATGATGAGATTTTGATGATGAGTCTCAGCAGTGTTTTGCGATTCTCTGGGTGCTGATGCTGTTCTGTAGTCATTAATCCCAGGTCTAAGACATTAGATTAGCTAGCAGTACAAATCTGAGCTGCATCAGGCCCAGGCACTTGTAATAACATCTGCTCAAATTAGGCCTCGCTCTGTGGAGTTTATTTCAAATTTGTGTTTTCATATGGGAAGAGAGGTGATCCATTAGATCCAATAGCTGCCAGATTGAGGAACTTCTGTCAGAAGTTGTTACCCTTGTGGAATGTTCTGCACAAATTCTAACAGAAGGAGTGGATTTGTATTGATTCCTGTGCACCACGTGGCTGAACACTGACTGTGTCACAGAACAGGGCTGGACACCCCTGCTCTATCTGCTTATCCCTGGGCTCATTTGGGGCCTGGAGGTTTACTATGGATGCTGCTCAAAAGGGACAAGGCCCTGGGGGTGCTGGGGGTGAGAGCTGGGAGCCAGAATCCCCCCG